CCATCTAATCCTAGGTAATTTCTTGCAACAATATGACTCAGTTTTCCAAGTTTCTAAGTATAAAAAGTAATGCAGGTTGTCTATGACGTCAAGCTCTTAAATTCGAGTTTCAGCTTGTCTTTAGACTTGTTACTGTTGGTTTATGTCTACATGTTATTGATACTAGTACACCTGCCTCCGAAGTTTCTGCACTCCCCTATTTGATCTTCTTTGGCTATTTTGGTTACTCTCAGTGTGGGTCTTATGCTTAACATATACTTATATGATTCTCTTGATAAAAAAAACTGAATCATAACGAAATCATCAGATTCTCGTGATTAATGCTATACTTAAATCATGGGATATGAATGGCAGTGGATTATGGACTGCCATCTGCAAATATATAAAACAAGAAATGAACACCTAACTATGAAAGGAAATGATGAAGCAACTAAATTCACAGTTTCATCGGACCATTGTTCGGATGCCTTAATTGTGGTATAATGCTGTCATGAAATCTAATGTGTGTCAACCTTTTGATGCAATGCTGGAACACTTAGACCTTGTGATGATCCAACTTCTCCATCATAGGGACAAGTTCTTGGCTCATAACAAACTTGGAAAATCTCTGCTAACATACATCGGATTCCAACATAAAGCTAAAAGCTAACCATGGCCTAAATAAATAGAGATTAAGCACAATTCAATACCTTAGAACAAATAGGATAAAATTTATTTTTAAAAAAACAAATGAGACCCAACAAAGGACAACAAGAAACAATTTAAATCAAATATCAATCAAGCAAAATCATCAACATTTGGCCTATAATGAATTGGCTTCATTTTATTCCCCAATTTTCACATTTTTCCCCACCCCAGCAATCACATTGACCAAAAGCCTCACATGAAACATTTAACTATGAAAGTATGATTCCCTGAGACCCCAATCTTTATCAAGAGTTCACGTAAGTGGATACGACCAACATCGTAAGAGAGAATAAAGGTAGAGAGAGAGAGAGAGAGTAGATTATAAGAATTTTCTTCAAATCATAGCAGATACAAGATTTTTAGAGAGAGTGGATTTATACTAAACTATGAGTGGAAAAGGAGAAAATACTGAACAACTTAAACTTTAGTGCTTGTGTGGTTCCCAAACATTTCGCATCTCTATCACCTGCTATTTCTCAATTTCTTTTTAGAGAAGATGACCCTCTTTAAGATTGGCATTTGGAAGATAAAACAGATGAAAAGATTGCAAAGTGACAGAGAGGATATGAAAAGAATTGCAAGTAAACATGCATTAAATTGGATTTACATGAAACTTTCAATTTATAGACAGCAGATGAAAGGAGAGATTAGTTTCCGGGTCCTTATAAAATATCTTTGTTTTGGACTTGGGTAAAACTTTACCTTGGTCTGTACAACCAAGGTGATCAATGTGCATAAGGATGTTGAGATGGACGGAATGTGGGGCAGTCAGGAAACAACATATTCATGGGATGAGTGTAGTTGAGATGGATGAGTTGCAAGACAAGAAATGATAGAATTTGGAATGAAAACATGCGTGAAAACTTAGGTGTGGCTTCAATAGGTGATAAGATAAGAGAAAGTAAACTTAGATAGACGGGCTTTATGTAGCGTATACCTAATATAATACTGGTTAGGAGGTGTGATTTGTTTCAAATGAAAAGCTCTAAAGGGCAAGGAGAATCTCCTAACGGATATGGATAGAAGTAGTGAGAAAAGAAATGATGACTTTTGATCTTATTAAGGTATAACCCTTGATAGAGAAGAATAAATGAACATGATTCATACAGCTTATTCCTCGAAATAATTAAATAAAGCTTAGATGATGAGGAGGATAATGATAGCCATAACTTACTTTTACAACATTTACATTTACTAGACAACAAAGAATCACCTGCTTAAATATAATATATTTCCAAAGACAAGCAGTCAAAATTCAATGAGACTTGTTGACGAAGCTGAAAATACCCAAAATAGATGTGAAATGCCTAAACTGCCCCCCTAATCCCAACAAAGCTGAAAATACCCAAAATTCAATGAGACTTAATGAACTGAAAATGACAAACGTAACTAAATTATGCCCAAAATAAATTGAAATGCCTAAACTGCCCCCATAATCCCAACAAAGCTGAAAATACAAAAAATCCTTGAATATGAAATTTATCCCTTTTAGCACTACGTCATTTCCCTTGGGTTGGAGAGATCTCAACTTTGCGAGTTTTGCTTTAATATATTGCTAAAATAGTTCCTTATCCAACTTTTGCTATGTTTCTGTGATCCATGAACTTTCAACAATGGCTTGGTCTTTCCAATGTACCAAATATTGCCTCGACTGATGTTAATTATGCAATTATCTACAATCTGGGTTATCTTTATTGGTTTTTGGCAGCTGATCTGTCCCCAACTCCTCTCTTTTGCCGTCGGATTCGCCATGGTATTAACATAGATATTTTAAATTAAAGATGGGAGAAATCTTGAGATCTTCTAGAAGATCCATATGATAAGCGTTATCATTAATTTTCCATTGAACTCCATACGGTCAATCCTTCTTATACTTCAGCATGAGGGTATGTATCAGCCAAAAAATGTTATGTACTGAAGTAAATGATGACTCGATCTCCCTCTTTGAAGGGTTGAAACATCAGTCCAAGGTGCCTTGTAAAGTCCAGTATTTTTTGATTGCCCTTTGGGATTTGATGAACCCTGGACTGTTCCACATAAATTGATTGTTCCTCAACCTACGCAGTGCTTTGTCCAGTCTAAAGTGACCTCCAAGACCTCCTTCATGCAACTCTTGGATAATATTTTTCAATAAAGAGCTTTCAGGAATACATAGTCATGGTCCCTTGAAGAGAAAACCATCATGCAACAAAAAGTCAATGGCTGTTCCATGGTCATCTTGCTTACAACAAGCAAAAGCAACAACAAAATAAGGTTCTTCTTGAACCAACTTTTTATGGTATTTAAAACCAGTAATCTCAGGTAGAGCTGATAGAGGAGATGCATCACATTCTACTTCAATGTCTTTACCGAAATCAGGTATAATAAATACACGAGTGGTAGTCATATTCTCTTTGATGAGTGCAAAGCTCTTTTTGGTCTCCTTTGTGAGTTGGAACACCCATGTCTTTAAACAATTAGTGATCATCGCATTAAGGATACTCAAATTTTGATAAACCTTCAACAGAGTGTCCCGAGTTCATGAAAACTCCCCAACTCTCCAATGCCGTAAGTTGTCAGCCAAACAACATTTTCTCAGATTTTAGTCATGAAAACTCCCCACCTCTCCAATACAGTGAGTTGTAATCATCTTTTCTTTGATAAGTGCAGAGCTCTTCTTGGCCTCCTTTGTGTGTTGGAACACCCCTTTTTCCAAACCAATGGTTTAAAAAACGGATCGGTGATCCGGATCGGGCACCCAAAAAACCGATACGGAGATCGAGAATTGGGTGAATCGGTCAGAATAAAGCTTAAAAAAAATCCGAAAAAATTATTACAATTTATTATAAATATTGTTTTTTAGGAATTCAATAAGAAATGAGGGTACTCCATTAAGAATTTTTATATTTTTGAATGAATATGTGAATATTGATGTGTTTTTTCCCTGCATGAACCGCCATTCAGTATTTAATTTACATCACACAAAAGGATAAACATAGAATTATCATGCAATAAGTATATCAACATACATGGACTACAATAAAGCATAAAATTAGTAACATATGATCTAAAAATAAAATGATAGACGACGTTATTGTTCTTCTTGGTCACGTTAGTGCCATTGATTGAATTCGTTTAACAATTCATTGATTCGATCTAAAAACGAATCATCGATATTAGCAGGCGTCTGACTATTCCCAAATCCCTGAGTGTTAGTGTTTTGTTGCGTTCCCAATCCAAAATCCTCAAAGCTTGTCCATCCTTCATGCTCACCTGCACTGTCGTGCTCATCCCTACACTGTTGCTGTTGGGACTCGATATGTGAATAATATGGTTGGGATAGGGTGGCATCAGAATCATCATCTTTCTCATTTTCTCTTTGAATAATATGGATTAAAAAAAAAAAATACCAAATTTTCAAAAAAATCGATCATGGATTAAAAAAAAAAAACAAATTTTCAAAAAATTCTATCATGGATTACAAAAAAAAATTCGATCATGGATTAAAAAAAAAAATCACAAATTTTCAAAAAATTCAATCATGGATTACAAAAAATTCGATCATGGATTACAAAAAATTCGATCAT